ATACTACTATGATTCTGGCCTTGACTGTAACCTCTAGATATCCTCCAAATACTGTCTCCCAATTGTAATTATTGTTGTAATCCTTTTAATTAAATTTAATGTACGGTATATTCAAATGGTAAATTTAAATATAAATTATGTTTAGGTTTTGTCTCTCCTTTCTTTATCCTGACCTTCCCAATTTATCAGTATTTATTATAATGGTTGCTCAGTTTTAATTGACTATTGCATCTTCAACAAAGCAACCTAGCTTTACCCACTGCTGTTGTTCTCTGCGACAAGCCAAAAATTATGTTAGATCACGTTTCACTTCAATTGTTTGGATTAATTTGTACTAAAGCACTCCCTCAGCCCAACAATATATAAGCAAAGTTAGTGAGGAAATGGTGGCACAGAAAATAAAAGGACAAAAAGAGACTTTGGAAAAGGGCGCTCGTACAAACTACCTTTAAAAGAACTGCCCTTATAAGTAGTTCTCATTCAAGTTATTGTTGAATGAGAAATTTGTTAAGTGAGTTTGCCCCCATTTTATGATTTTTCTTGTCCCATTTGTTAAGTGAATCACTGCAGTTGTTGAATTGGTAAGACAGTTGTTAAGTAAATCTGGTTTCCCCATTGACTTTGCCCATCAGAAGGTCACAAAAGGAGATCAAATGATTCCAGGATATTGCAACTACCATAAATGTCAGTCACTTGTCAAGCATCCAAATGTAAATCACGTGATCATGGGGATGCTACAAAGTCATGTGTGAAAAATGGTCATAAGTCACTTTTTTCAGTATTGTTGTAACTTCGAACAGTCATTAAACAATCTGTTATAAGTCGAGGACTTCCTCTATATGCCATCTCCACTCCCTAAAGTTTCCTTTTATATAATGGCTTTTTGAAAACTTCCCTCAACCTTTGTTCTTGGTTTTCCTCCCAGCATTTTGTTTTATATCAGAAAAACTCAATATCTGATACAAAGGGAGCTTTTTAATTTGGCACTCATAGCTGATTTATTTAGGTCTCTACTTGATGGGGTTTTTTAAAATCATTTTAAATGTACTTGCTACAATACATAATAATTTCTACCACTTATTAATCAATATTATATTGTTGAATAGAGAAAGACTTAGAGTTTTCAGTATTTCCTAATATTGCCCACGACCCTTGTAACTTCCACTTTCATGCTGCTGTGAGAAAATATGTTAAATATGGATTGAGTTTCCCTCCATAATGCAAAACTAGTTCATCATCTTGGTTCTTCTTTCTTTTTCCTCATAAAACTACTGTGCTTCACTTTGAGCTGTCCATCTTAGACAAATGAAGCAACTAACATGCATTTATCACCAGCCCCCAGGAGGATTCTGAAAAGTTTAGTCACCTTTTATATCTATTTTGTTCGGTTTTACTTCTGTGTACAGTTCTTTTCCTCAAAGTGAAAATATATCCTAAGGGTGTAAAAAACACTCATGGTGGATTTCAGTAGGAGTGAAATGATGTAAACTTCTAACACAGACTCTGTTGTAGCATGGATGAGTGCCAGTGGAGTCAAGTAACACCTGTCATTTTCCACTTAAACAACCAAAGAATTAAGAATATGTCTAAAAACCCTTTGTATAGGAAAGTTGTGAAGAAAAATAACACTAGGGACAGCTGAATGTTCAGAAAGAAAAAAAATCTACCAGTTCTGCACAAAAAACTGGAGATGTTTTATCCAAAACTATAGATCTGGAAAAAGTATACAATACATGAAAATGAGGATTTTTCTTAACTTTTTTTGAAAAATAAAAAAATAAAAAGATAAATCAGAAATGAAAGTAGCAGTAATGAAGAAATCAAGTATAAATGACCTTATCTGTGCATTTCTCCTTTATAGCAATAGTAGACTTATATACCGCATCACAGTACTTTACAGCCTACTCTAAGCAGTTTAAAGAGTCAGTATTGCTCCCAACAATCTGGGTCCTAATTTTACCCACCTCGGAAGGATGGAAGGCTGTGTCAACCTTGAGCCTGGTGAGATTCGATCTGCCACACTGCTGGCAGCCGGTGATCAGCAGAAGTAACTTGCACTCTAACCACTGCGCCACTGCAGCTCTTATCAATAAAACAAACTTCTGTTACTATATAATTCTCTTTCTTTTTAATTAATCTTTTCTAATATGGTACCTTTATTCCTAGCCATTATGGTCACTATAATGATATTATACAATGTAATGTAATGTAATGTAAATACAGTATATAATATCACATCATAACATATCATGACATGACATGACATGACATAATATAAAATAATCATCCCAGCAGATGCTTCCACTTATTTATTTTGTGAAGCTTTTATTGTTTTATTGTTTTCTATTGTTTTATTTTAGAATTGTAAGCCACCCAGAGTTACTTGGTTGTGTTAGGTGGTTATAAATACATACATATATACATACATGCATACATACATACATAAATCAGGACATTGTGTTAGAGAAGGCTGATCTACAACATGTTCCCTGCTGTACAAGGGGAAAAAAAGTCTGGTCCTGTTCTCAAAAGGATGGGAAATTAATATTGTAGTAATAAATTAATCAGTATTCAGTGGGCAATGTGTGTGTGTGTGTATGTGTGTGTGTGTGTATCTATATATATTTAATACACACACATATGTATGTGTGTGTGTGCATATATGTGCTTGTGTATTTGTGTGTGTGTGTGTGTGTGTGTGTATGCTGGCCTTGTTGTATTCGGGTCTTTTTCCATGTAAGATTGCGATTGTCTTGGCAACATTTCAGCGAGGTCTCACTTGCCATCTTCAGGCTGGGTTTAAATCTACGAAAGTGTGTGTGTGTGTGCGCGCGCACATATACATACATAAATATACATACACACCAGAACGCATACAGCACCTGCGCGATCCTCCAGGAGCAGCTGGAGAATCACGCAGACGCTAGTACGCATGCGCGTGCCGTGTGCGTGCGCGAGGACGCCGTACGCGTGCGCGAGGACGCCGCCGGCCTCGTTCCAACCGAACCGGTTGGAACGGGGTGAGAAACCCACCCCTGATACACACACACATACATATACATACATACATATATACATACATACACACATGTACATACATATACATACATATACATACATACATACATACACACACACACACCTTTTTTCAATCTCTTCTTTGTTTTGTGTTTTTTCTTTGTTTTTTAAAATTTGTCAGAGTTTTGTATTTTAACCTTTTTTTAATAAAATAGAAAAAGTTAAAATACATTACAATGTTCAAAGTGTGTCAAGTAATTTTTTCAGAGGAGTCCCGTTATGATCAAAGGATGCCTTGGAGGCTAGAATATGGCCATCAATAGTACCGGGAGATACATGTAAGCATGCATGGGTTACAGATAAGCAAAAGGAAACCGCTGGTAAGACGAAATGCCAGTGAAAACTAGAGAGTTGAAATGCAGGACTTATTAATTCATAAGGCTTTGTACTTAAATTAAGATCTTGGAAGCCACTTGTCCTTCATAGAATAGAGATTCCAGAATTCAAAAAATTGATAATTCAATAAACAGCTCAGAGTTCAGGATCTTGTCTTTCTTTTTCATCCGCTCAGTAGGTCTTAGTTTATAATGTAAATTAATGATTTGTTCTGTGTGGAGATTTATATTACATATAAATGCACAGTCTTGGATTAGCCATCTCAAGTTTCAATTGGGGAGATCCTGTATATAGTCCCTATGGACACCCCCTCAGCTATTGTGATTTAAACAGACAATACATTCTAGCTGTACAGATGTCCTATAAATTCAGATATGTATAGAATTTTTCTGTATTTCTTCGTTTTCTGTTATCTGCTGAAGGCAGTGACAGCACTTAAACTTTTGTATCTATACTATTCCAATACATATTATTTCTTGACAGATACATATCATATAATAAATTGTTAAATGGATAGAACAATGGGATCTGAGTGACAATTAATTAAAATGAAGCTTATTTATGTATATTCCCACTGTTGGTTCAGCTGGAACCCTCAGTTTTATTTCCATTATTTTACTTTGTTTTTCTGCTGCAGATCTTGTCTTATCATGTCAGAAACACTGATTGAGTCACCTGCAGGCAGGAAATAATTCAAATGTTCCATGAAAAAAATATTCATGGTTCTGAAAATTTTTTAAAAAATCCCACTCAAATGGAAATTTTACGTTGGTGTTGGAAATGCTAACATGGGGGTGCTACTATTACCTAACTGCCATTATTTTGTCTCTGTTGTAAGGCAGCTTGAAGGACAAGCCATTTATTTGAACTCTTTTTCTCTTACTACTACCATCAGGAGGATAAATGATTTACAGAATATTTTCCCAGCAGATTAAAAACTACATTCCAGCCACTCTTTAATTGCTTTGTTGACTAGCAAGATTTTTAGACATGGGGGGGGGGGATCTCCAAATATGCCAGTCTTTAGAAATTAAATCAAAGGTAAGTTTAAATTAGGACATTAACAATTCTACTTGCATAGGATTTACTTTAGATTAAAAGCAATTTTCTGAGTGACAAAGAAATGGAAAAAAAAGAAAATGTGAAGGTGGAAGACGCATTCTGTAGCATACTTTTTCATGTTCCTTTCTAGCCTACACTGTTTAAAGCAGCCCATTTCTTTCTTGTGAATATTGCTACAACTTTCTTTCAGATGTTCCAGCTTACTCCTTCTCAAAAACAGTTTCCTTGGTTCTCTTTCTTTTCAATTCACATTGCTCTTAGAGTCTCTGCTAACCCATTATGTGACCTTCACTTTTTTAATTCTGCTGGTCCCTCTCTGCATTTTAAAACCTGACCTACATCAAGCTCCATCTTCTCATCTTAATTCTCTGGAGTCCTAGAAATTAAGGAGAATATTGTCTACGGAAATTCTCAATCATCCAGGTCATGGTTGTCCCAAAGATGCTTCCGCCTCCCAAAAAAAGCGACTAGACTTTCTTGGGTTGTTGTTGTTGTTTTTAATGTTCTGCTTTTCATTCAAAAAGCATCTTCAATTCTTCTGCAAAAGAGGATTCTTGGATGAGAAGTGAAATGTTGTCAAAGAAAAAAATCAAGAAATCCCAGTTGCCTTTTGGAAAAAGCACCTTTGGGGTAAGGAGAGCATTGTTCAACAACACATTTTGTACACATTTTGATGTATTGCCAGCCACAATAATGGAAAGGTATATTTGCTCTTTTACATTTGATCAAGTAGAATCCCTAGTGAACTTATTTTTATATAGCTGTTATGATTGTCAAGGCATCATATTCCATACGGTAAATAGATTCTTTCTTTGCCCTACACTCCCAACAAGGAGATAAATATGTTTATTATATCTGTTGAATTAGTCACCATATATAAAGCAATTCTACAGCTAAAGGTTCCCAGGATCCTATCTTCTATATCTTTTGGTCCCCAAATTTTATCCTGGGCCTCTTGTTTCTGCCATTTCATGGTTATTATGGTTATATGCTTGCTTGTTTCCTGCTACCTACTCCTTGTTTAACAATGACTTTCTTTGAAGTGTGAAACAGAGACTTCTGCCTCATTACTACAATTTAGAGAGTTGTTGTTGGGAAAATAGGAGGAAGATGAATAAAATTTGTCGCCTTGAGTTATTAAAACAATAAAGGCAGAATGAAATAAATAAATATAATATAATAATAAAAGAAATGGAATAGCATGCGCCCGTGTATGTATTTCAAGTGATTTCATGTTTTGAATAGTTCCTTAAAAAGAGAGAGATGAAAGTTTAAAATTAGATGTATTAGTGTAAACTAAATTCTGGTTTCCTTTCCTTTTATTTTAAGATATAACTACTATTATGTAAATGTATGTGTATATGTACATACACCTTATACCTTACTTTTTTCCCCCTGTGCTTTGCACAATGCTTTTAGTCTGGAAAGGAATAGCATGGTGGGCACATCAGCGAGTGTTTCCTACTCTTTGTCTATCAAGGCAATATAAGCAGGGAATCTATGTGATCTGATCCAGATTTGCTTAGCTTGAGCAAGATATCACACTGTATTTCTTGGATGAATCATAAAATAAAATGTTGTCTCTTTGCTTCCCCCCAGAAGAAGCTGCACATTTCCAAGCAGTCCTACTTAACAGCTTTCCTTTGAGACATAGCAAAGCAGTAGGCATCCTGTTTCCTTTTCATCTTATGACATCTGGAGCTGCTGTGAGAAATCCCCCTCCACAATTGAATATTCTGTAATGTTTCCCCCCTTAAGTTGACAGCATCCAAGAAGAACTCCGAGGTATGTAAAATCTGCTAGGTTTCATCTTTTATAGCATTTCCCAGATGGAAGAATAACATAACAATGAGATATGTTAGAAGATAAAAACAAAGAATTGTGAGGTTCCACTTCATGTTCTTCCATTTCAGGGTCTTGTCCTCACAGAGCTTACAGACAGACAAGAGTGGGCTAAAACCAGCAATATGTGACCAGATTTCTACTTGTTAAAGGAGCTTTCCTATTATTCTCCTTGCTTTACCATTTCACAAAACCTCTTCAATTCACACTCTAAGTGTCATGTCCTCCTCCAGAGTGGGTTTGGAAGATACACAGGAGACAGAGAAATCTAAGTCTGCTGGCAGATGTTGTTTTGTCAGCAGAAAGATGCCATTGGAAACAACTTGTGCTTTTAGTTTCCTACAAATTATGCCTTTTATTTTCACTTTTCTTTTTAAAATGTCAACACTTTGATTCATTAATGTTCCTTTGTTTAAAGACTTAATCAATTCTGCTTAACATTATCTTATTTACCTGTTACACTGTAGGACATATAATTACTGATCTAACAAAGGGGAGAAATTGGAACAAAATAATCTACAAATCAATAAATAAAGCACTATTTTCATTCATGTGTCACTGGCATTATTAGTGAGCTTTGATAAGCTTTACAACTGCATAATCCTTGCATTATTGTGTTGCTGACCTGGAAACTGAAAAGGGCTGCTACAGATTGTAGTTCAGCAACTTCAAGGTTGGGGGGGGGGATGAGGTTATGTAGTTAGAACTTCACTACTCAGTATTACTCAGGTAATAATATTTACTATTCATTCACAATGAATGAATGGACTAAATATTTTCACTTGCATCTAAAAATGGTATACACCTATTCTGGCAATATCTTTGTCCTGCTATTATGATACTGCTACTTTATCTCATACCGATCCCACAAGTAAGGCACTATTAATCTTTCTTAGTTATACCAGTATAAGAATACTGTTTTCCCTTGTAAGCTATCAGCCTCCAAAGACAAAGTATGTAAGATCTGATGTTTTCTCACTGGCTGGCAGGAAAGGTAGAGCTGGAGGTATCAACTAATCAGATTGCTTAGAATAGGGGTGTCAAACTTGTGACCCGCAGGGCGGATGCATCACATGCTGGCCGTGCCCACGCCCAGTTTAGTGATGGGGGTGAGTTGCAATATGTTACATGACGACACCATGATGATACAAGTTTGACACCACTGACTTAAAACATGTTATTACAGGCAAAATCAGAATAACACTACTCAGCAGTTCATCAGAAGACAAGCAGGAAAAAAAAAAGGACAGGGAGTACCAAGACAGACAACATTTTTTCTGCCAGTAAAGTATTTTGACAATTCCAGATGCATAGATAGCACTTTAATTCAACAGTGAGGAAAGGTCCTAAACTACTGGATTATATGGTTATATTATAAATATTATAAATATTTCACTTTTAATTATATGATTGCAATCAAGATTCAAGGACAAAAGTCACCTTGTAGGAGAAATAAGCATCATAAAAATATAATAAATACATAGAATGTAATTTAAATGAAAATTGTGTTTAGTTTAAGAATATCTTATTCTGTAAGATTCATTCCATTTCATAGATATTTTTTAAACCTGCACAGCTACACATCCATCTGTCTTTTATCAAGTGAGGGCAAGTGAGACACAGGAAGGAAAAGATATGAATTTGCAGCCTTTCATTTCTAAAAAAAAACCCACCAAAAACCAGTTATTTACTTTGAAATGAAATATTTCTATCCATAGCAAGAAAAACTGTCACAACAGGCTTCTGTGCTCATATAAGTAGAGTATGTAACAGTTGGTAGGCAACTTCAAGGCATCTATGGCTGCAGGGAACCCTTGCAGGGCAGAGCTGAGGATTATGCCCAATTCTTAGCGGACAAAATTGCTCGGTTTCGGTCGGACTTGGA